CATCTCAGAAGTAAAAAGATTAATGACATGTGAGCAGCAGCAGTAAGATATGCTAACAATGATAAAAGCGTTACAAAAACTGTGAAATTACAGAACATTCACATTTTAGTAAGATCTGAGACTTCCAGGTATGTCAGTTTGAATCAGAACTTCTAATCTTGTGTCAGGTTGGTCCAGCGAGTTATACCTACGTTCAGAGCTGCCATGTTGGCTGTCTTGAAAATGTCGTTCAAGTATTTAATAGGACTTCTCTTCATTAGGTTTCTTGTTTTAAGAGCCGGTGAATGGGGTTGGGGAGGTGGGGAACAAAGGTGGTCTAGTTTTTACCACATCTGTGGCACATTTGTGACACATCTTGGATATGTAGGAAAAAGCTAAACTACCAAGCAGCTGGTTGTGACAAAAATACTAGCTCTAAAATAGAAATAGAACTGCCTATTTTAGCTTATTTGTTTCTCCAGATTAAGCATTTGATTACTTTCCATTCATTTGTCACTAGAAGTTCATTTCCACAAATACCTAACAGAGGCTCAGATAGTCCCCGCCCACTAATCCTTCCACCCTTCAAAGCAGCTATGCCAAATGCAGGGAACATGGAAGCTCTGGAATACTTTCCCAGTGATGGTCCCATTTTGAGCCATTTTCAGTAAGTATTACTGGCTCTAAAGGTCAGTGATAAATTCCTCACTCCCTGGTTTTCAGAGCTTTGACTGTAATTCATCTCAGTGTTACAGAAAAGCAGCTGGTAACGGTATTTCTGCATTAATTACATTACAGAGTACTTAATTGTAGCTAAGATCAAGCATGTGCAATCAGTCTTTTTCCCATGCTTGCAGCCTCTCCCTCTTGCCAATAAGCTCCACTTTTGTCTTGGGAGCCTGCTGCGACTTCAGACCAGATGTTTCTGCGCCAAGAGACTGAAAAAGTAACATTGCGAAATCCAGATTTAGTCAAAAGAAAAGATACAGACTTGGAAACAGCATATTGAGGGCGCATTAGTTAAAATATTTGGTTCTTCTGTGAGGACTTCAAATTCTGGTAGGATGGAAATGACTGCAAAGAGTCACATGGAGTATCGTGTGTCAGAGCAAGGATGGGAGGTCTGTGAGAAGAAGCTGCAAAACCTCTGCTGGGCTGCTTGTTGCTGCGGTGCCTGTAAGATGCCTTTCAGTTAGGCAGTAGTATGGAAGGCTGTTCCTAAAAATGAGCTTGAATGTCTTGCTCTGGACTAAAGATGCAAATAATCCATGTACGTCTTCAGTCCGCTTCTTAGGCTTAAAAGCAGAGAGAGATGGGAGGCATGTCCTTTTCAAATAGTCCTAGAAGCACACGTTCAGTATTTTACATGGAGTGGGTTTATGTTGCTGTCTCAAAGTGGTGTATGTGTAGGCTGCTGCACGGGTACTCTCACGATTCTTCAATTTTGGTGGTGTGCTTTTGCTACTGTTAAACTGATGAACTTTGATTCGAGACCTTTACCATCAAAGTACTGCAGCTCTTAACATGCTTTGCTGTTTGGCCACAAGTCTTAACTTGACCTATTGGTGTGAGGAATCTTACTGTTACTAGACTGATTTCTTGTGTTCAGCATTTTTTAATCTTTTTTTCTTTGCAAATCTAATATTCCGATGAGATGGAAGAAGGTAGGGTACTGAGAAATTAATTCAGGAATGTCTGTGTGGCTGAAATGAAATCTGGCACTCAAAAATAGAGCAACAGGGAAATGTTCAGTATTGGGAGCAGTGTAAGCTTACAGAAGACATTTTTGTAGTAGTACCAGTTGTAAGATACCCAACATGAAATCCATCTTTAATTGGCTGGTACCAATTGCTTGACAGTGTGTAGGATAAATCAAATTACTTAGTCTTGTGTGTAATAGACTGATGTCCCCGCTGCTACAAGAGCTTTATTATAGCCAGCACTGGAAAACGTACAAATGAGCTGCCCATTGACTGATAGGGCAGGGCTTGTGCCCGTGGGCCTGCCTGCTCTGTACATAAGCTACAAGGAGAGAGCTTCAGTTTTCCTGAGCACTTCAAATTAGCAGCAAATTAGCATACAGCTAAAACTTGTGAAGGAGGAAAGGAGTATGTGCAGGGTTTGGAAGGGAACTCTTACACTAGAAGCATGGTACTTATGTATCCTGGGAAACCCTCTAATCCCTATCTTCCTACCCAGAAAATAGGGTAGGCAGCTAGGTGGGATTTTACTGCTCAGTTTCCACAGATACCGTAAAGCTGTAATCTGCCAAGCATGGTCCTCTGGATCAGTTTGCTACTCCAGTTCACCATGAGGCCATGCAAACACTTGTACGAACACAGCCAGTACCTGGGCAGCTTGAGGCAGATGAGGAAATAGGGGCAGTGGTCCAACGCTACCGCCCTTTCTGGCTACCCATGCCCTCCCTCAATTGCATATCAAATTGTGGTCTAATATCCGAAGTGGAACTTATGGCAAAAGAAGAGGCCCTGCTAACACAGCCATTTTGTGCGCCATAAGCTTGCTGCGGGCACAGGAGAACAAAGTGGCTGTACTTAGGCAGCGATTATGTTGGCCTGCTGTGCAGCTGTGCATGTTAAAAGTGTATCGTGTCGAATGCAACCATTTCTGATCAATAGAATCTGTATGAGCATTAGCAGCAGGACAACTGCTAGGGCTTAAAACACTCTGTCACACGTATCTGATATGCTTTGTCAGAGTATTGTCCGAAGCTGCCTGCAGTCTAACATAGCTTCTCCACAGTGGGTGTAGATCAAGCCCTCTGGAAATGGAGTCTTACCGGTGCTGCTTGTACCAAAACTCTCTTATTCAGCTTTGTGTGCATTTACTAGGAATTGGGTCTTATATTTGTTAACAGATATGCTATTGTATGCATATTAAAATGTACAGAGAAGTATTCTAAGCTTTATAGCTGATCACCTTCATATGTTTGGGCTGCCTTGGTGTGGAACAATACTGACATTCAGTGGTTGATTATACTTGCTACTGTTGTGTGACTATCCAGGAGATTTTGGAGGGTTTTAATGTTCAGCGCTGGATAAATTCAGAACATGTTTAGTTGAAATGGATTAAAGCAATTGTATCAAGGCTCCTTTAAAAGAATGCTGTGCTCACAGTATTAAAGTTGTCTATTTTTTTTAACAAACTAAATTAGAGATTAATTTAGTCCAGGAGAGAGACAGTGGAAACACACAATAACACTTTGTAGCTTTGTTTCCTTTACCCCTCTTAAGCAAATTGGCATTCAGTTTCCAAAAGAACATCCTGTTATATACCATGTTGGCTTAGTTGGATTTTTCTGTCCACTTTTTGACTATTGGTCTTTTTGTGTCTACCACCAAAGAGAGTGTGCTCTTAGCAAGAGGTATCTAAGACCTGGCAAGGCCCCAGTGAAGATGAGCACATTGCTGTCATGCATGTGAAGGAGCAGCTGGAGTCAGGAATTTGAAAAGCTGGATCTTGGCTCCCTTCCCCCATCTGCTGACTTAGGTGGAGGGAAATAGCATCCTAACTACCTTCTTTAGTAGTACTTTTTCACCTTCTCTGGTGAGCTTTGGAAGACATACTTTTGTTTGTCAAGATCTGCAGGGCCAGACCATTTTTCAGTGTTACAAGTGTGTTGGGAGGTCAGCCTAGTACTCTGGGCAGTTTAGATTCAGACACGGCAAACCAGAACTCACTCTGGATGGAGCTAAGTGCTTATTCCAATACTTTGGAATGAGGCTTAATCATGCAGTGTTTGGACTCAATATCTCCGTGTGACTGGGCTGTTTACATGTAGATGCTTCTGTGCCATCTTCACATTTGTTTACGAGAGTCAACATTAGTGAAGGAGCAAATTTTATCTGCATTTTATGGCATGATCCTGGTCAAACATCCTAAGATTAATGAAAACTATTATATGTTTTTGGTAGATGTGTTTGGCTTCTCTTGGACCTGCAGAGTTGACGGTGGTCTTCCTGTTTCAAGGTGGACCTTTTTTTTGTCAGAGGATGGTTATGCTGCAGATTAGCCAAATAATTATATCTGTCTCTTGTAAAGGCTAAAGAGATAAACTGAAGTCTGATAGCATTTGTCTCTTCTGTAGATGTGGAGAAAATAGTTTATTCACTTCATTTGAATCAACAACTTAGTTCACTTACTATCTCGTTGAGAGTTGAAAAATAGACTGGGAATTAGCTTTAAAAAAAGGCAGATAAGCTTCTTGTCCCATGAATAAAGTGAAGGATCAGTGGCTGAGGTATGTTATTTGTAAATCTTTAAAGATGTAAGAAAAAACAATTACATCCCTTATCTGCAGTTCATACTCCTGTTTTTCATGAGCGAGTTAGTTTTTAAGTGTAAAACATTTTATGTAAACATATTTCATGTGTGTCAAGCACATTTGAGACAATTTTATTCATTAAATCAGATTTAAACTCCTAGTTTTGTGTACTTTTAATTAATTCCAACCCTTTATCCAAGTGCAGCTTGGCATAGATCATAAGTAAAAGGCTAATCAGCCAGCAAATAAGAAACACTTCTAGTGAAAAAAAAGGAAGTGAGAAGCTAAATAGCTATATCTTTAAGGTAGCACAATTCTTAATTATGTGTGTAAATGTTACGCAAACTCCTCTGCCATAGGAAACTTTATGTATAGATTACCCTTACATGTTGCCAAACATGTTTGAGTGCCAGCTCATGACAGTCAGCTTTTCTTTAAGAAATAATTACAAATACCAAATAGGGATGAAAGTGGAAATCAAGGGTGCTAGCTCCTTGCTTACATTGTGATATACATTAGTGGCTTAATCCACTGTGAAATATTTTGTGGTGGAACATTCCTCTAAATAAAGAAATGTAATTTAAAGAAAAGCGGCAAAGGAGTCTTTTTCTTAAATTCACAGTGCATGTTAGTAAAGAGTAACTGTTGTAAGAAAGGGAATCTGGGAGAAGTAGTAATGTCAATCCTTATATCCTTTTGTTTATTTTAACTGCTTTGAATGTGTTTCCAACAGAAAATGATCCACAGCCTGTTTCTTATAAACTGCTCCGGTGATATATTCTTGGAGAAGCACTGGTTTTTTGAGCCAATCTGTGTGTGATTATTTCTTTGAAGCTCAGGAGAAAGCAATCGATGTTGAGAATGTGCCTCCTGTCATCTCAACGCCACATCACTACCTCATCAGCATCTATCGGGATAAAATCTTCTTTGTGTCTGTCATACAGACAGAAGTGCCACCACTGTTTGTAATTGAATTTCTGCACCGAGTAGCAGATACTTTCCAGGTCTGTCACCATTAAATAATTTTAAAATTGAAATAATTCCAAGGGAATTTTTGTATAAACTTCTTTTAAAGAAAGGTAATAAACCCTCCTGTCGGTGACTTTCCCCTTTGCAATTTTTAAGTCAAGCACTGGTTTATAGAGTCAAAGGAAAAGAAGGTATATTTTATGTATTCATTTGAATTATAGTTACCAGTGCACATGCACTAAGCCCAAATCCTGCTTTGTAAATGCTGTCTTTTTCTGTAAGCTTTTGTACTGTTCATGTTATATAGCTGAAAAGGAGCGTGCAGTCATGAAGCACTCTGTAGGGAGGAAGGAGCTGTGAAGCGTGAGTCAGTTTCCAACCTATTTCGCAGATACGGTTAATAAAGGAACCTCTGTGAAGATTGAGCATTGCCAAAAGACAGTCTCCTTATTTTACAAGAGCTTTCTGACTGAAGATGTGTTAATGTTCACATCTGTGAAAACCTTTGGGACATACATACTAGTAAAACAGATTACATTAATTTCACTGTTCACATTGTCTTTATTGCTAATTAGATGATAAATGTAACCTTAACATATGATGCCATCAGACTATAGAAGTAGCTAGTCAGTTTAGGCACTAAAATTCCTTGATATATTGAAGAGTTTCTGTAAGCAAAAAACCCAAACTTTGTCAAAGCATTTTAACGGGAATAAAAATCCTCTCCTTTGTAATCCCTGATTTGTTTAGGATTACTTCGGTGAATGTTCTGAGACTGCAATTAAGGACAATGTAGTTATTGTGTATGAACTTCTAGAAGAAATGTTAGACAATGGCTTTCCACTGGCAACAGAATCTAACATATTGAAGGAGCTGATTAAGCCTCCCACAATTTTGCGGTCCGTTGTGAACTCCATCACAGGTATGAAAATAAATAATTTTCAGCGGTGACTGACTGCTTAAAAACAAAGCCCCATCATGCTTCATAGCTAAAAAATAATATATTGGTGTGAATCTGAGGTGAGGCGACTGTCCTGCCATTTCTCACAATTAAGAGTTGAAGAAAAGCAACTTCCTCCTTATTTGCAGTTTACATCTGGCCCCTTTGATATCCCGGTAACATTGTCTGGTCCAGCCACAGCTGCTGAAGTCCCTCAGGAGCAGCAGTTCCCAGCAGAGAGAGCACACAGGCAGGTGCTCTGGGATTGGTACACAGCTAGCCCCAGGCCTTGAATAACTGAAGGGCATTGGAGAAGGTTATGCATTTTAGAAGAAGTCGTTATAGAAAGGTATATAATAGATATCTAATAAATCTTGGCTGCCTGGGAAGAGATACATGAAGGGAAGCAAATAGCCTGTCCTCAGCCTCCTCCCTGCCCCCACCACCATCAGCATCCATCGAGTTCGGAGCTGGTTTCATGGATGTCTTGCACTGATAGAGCCGAACATCTGTCAGCTGAGCTGATGGAATCTGCTTGTCTGGCAAGCAGGTGCAAAGGAGGTACGGCATTAAGTGTCAGAGATACGCGAGATGTTCGCCTGTACATTGTGTTAGAGAAGGGTATTACGTGGGCCACAGGGCCACACAGAGGTAGTGCTCAGAGGAACTGGTCTTTGAGGTAGCATATGTGATTTAATCTTGTGAGTATAAATCTCATCAGTTTTAATTTCTAGTTTAGGGGGTTTGGTTGGGGTTTTTATTTTAAATGTGGTTTTGGGTGGTGGTAGTTACGTTTATGAAAAATACGATGTTAATGGACTAGATGCACCACTGTAAGGGAAATTAAGACTCCTGAAGCCAAGGGTTGCAGTATCAAATCCTCTTGTTTTATCTGAAGCCTTATTAGAATTCCCTAGGAGCCTAAAGCACCTGCCCGGGGCAGCCTGCATCTTGTCACTGTCAACAGCCGAGCGCTGAACAGGTTGGAAATGGCATCCTGAGAGCTCTCCCGCCTACCTGGCCTGGCAGCCCAGCCTGTGTAGAGCTGCTCCACCCTGCCAGGCTGCTGAGGGACAGGAGGCAGGGGCGCAGCAACTGCTCACCTTCAGAGATGCAGTGGGAATGAGGAAATGGTTGCAACTCCTCTCCCACATGTTGTAGCACCAAGGTGGACTTTAGAGAGGGGGTTTTCTGTGTGAGTTATTTTACTAGCTCAAAATAATGAAAACTTATGTTTTCTGCCTGCTGGGAGAAGACCTACCCAGCAGGTTGTGTAGAAACGATAACTGCTGTCTCTTGATGAAGCTGTCTCGTGCAGCAGGACATACTACCGCATTCGTTGTGCTAAAGGGCACAAGCAAGCATGAGCTGTGGCCCTGTCCTGGGACCTACTTCTAGCAGAGGGAGTTGTTTCCACTATACTGGGATTCCAACATCAGTCACCTAAGCCCCATAAGTGATAAGATTTTATTTTCGTTTTCCTTTCTAAAGAATCATCAGTATACTTTATAACTAGGTAGCTCAAGAAGCCCTTTTCTCACACTGAGTGGTACTGAGAACAGGAGCCGAGGGTGAGAGCAAGGCCGGCAAGGGCAGTGGCATCTCTGTTAAGGAGCCCAGAAGTTGAGCCAATGGGTCAGGGCAGGGATCGGGATCAGGTTATAACAGGGTCATCTATAGCTCAGTGGTTGCCAGGAAAGTCCATCATGATGAGACAGGTCAAGCCAGAAAGTCAAGTTTATGGGCCAGAGTCTGGATCGATTTGACACATGGTCAGATGTAGACGTGGCTGCAGGGTAGCTCAGTTGGGTACCAAGGGTGAGAGCCTCTGCCTAACAACAGCTCCCAAGCAAAGGGGGTGGGAGCCCTCCTTAAGGCTTCTTCCCGGTCTTTCTTCATAACAGCTCTTACCAGTGAATCAGCCCTGAAGGCAGCCGCCTAAAACTCTTAGAAGGGGGAAGTGTGCTTAAGGCCCTCACAAGGAACTGTAATGTCTTGAATTGTAGTGATGGAATCCTTTGCAGAATCTAGCCTCACATCTACTCCCACTCAAACTTACTGCTGACCTGAGCCTTGTATTTTTCTGTGCAAGATACAATCTGAAAACATGCTTAAAGTGCAGTCGTGTCACCTAATGAACGAAATTTTAGCAGGCTGTGTTCTAGTCTGCAATTCTTGAGGGCAAATCTTGCTTTGATTCTTAATTTTGGCAGCTGAAACATTCCTCTTGTTAAATTGCTGATTTTGAGTTCCTTTTCATTTTTAAGGCAGTAGTAATGTGGGTGACACACTTCCCACTGGACAGTTATCCAACATTCCTTGGCGCCGAGCAGGTGTAAAATACACAAACAATGAAGCCTATTTTGATGTCGTTGAAGAAATTGATGCAATTATAGACAAATCAGGTAGGATGCCTTACAAGCTTATTTTTGTTTGTTGAATGTGTTTACATTTAGCTGCTGATGTTTAGAGAGAATACAGTCCAATGGTTTTTTTGCATGTTTTATATACATTAATCTGTACCTTAAATAGAAATATACAATTTAAAATGATGTGCCCAAATCTGTTTCTTCAGTTCATCTTAAAATAGCAATATTCTCTAGGCTGCTTCAAGAACATCCACAAGAAATATTCTGTACTTCGATGTTTTCTGTTCATATATTGATTATCTCTTAAGAGATATAAATGGAAAAAAATACTTGAAGTTTTACATGTGATGAGAAAATTATCTTCCATTTTCCTCCTAAATGAAACAAAAGCTTTCATTAGCTTTCTTCTGGATAGCAAGTCAAAACTTGGTGCAAAATAGCTGGACAGTTTTCTTTTCCTTATATATAAACTGGAGCCAGATATTATGAAGCATAATAATACTCCTTTCTTTTCTGTAAATGAAACATGATATCTTCAAATACAAAAATCTTTAATCTGAGATTTAACTCTGAGGAGAAATCTGATAACTTTTGTGTAAATGTTGCCATGTGCCAAGAAGTAGAAAAAACTGATCCAAAAAGAAAACTGCTACGCTGTGGACAGGAGCCTGCTATTTTATTCATTATTGGGGCCATCAGTTACTGAAGCTGAAGACATGACACCATTTTGTGGTGGTATGGGGCAGGGAGCAAATCTCTGATTTCTTCATTCATTGCTGGTGTTGTAGCAGTAGTCAATGTTGTTTTGTTCCATACACCGGTTCAACAAATGCTTTGGCCACCGTTGAAGTGGATAGTCATAAATAGCTCTTTGTGCAGCTCTTATACTCTTGCCATCGTGAAACTAAAAGAAAGTGGCAGTCACAGTCAGAACACCCTGATGGCTGTGTTACTATCCTAGCTCAACAGAATTCCCAAGAGTAGTATGAGTGCTTAGTCTGAGGAGTTATAATCAAGACTATGTTTGTATTTCTGTATGTTTTTCAGGCCCAATCAGTGTCCACTCAGCGTTTAAAGTTCCTACTAAGAATCCACTGCAGTAGTCACAGCTACTCTTGTCTGCTCTGATGCCTTGGGGACTAGCAATGCAAGAATCTTTCTTCCTAACCTTCACTAGGGCTAAGTAGCAGATAACGTTGCTCCCCTAGAATACAGATGTTATCTTGTTTCACAGGGATATGGTTAACTACTTTCATCTGAAACAGGATCCCTTCTTTTCATGCAAAGTATTAACCCACAGTTTCTCCTTCCCCTTGACTAGATCAGCAACCATTTCTACATATCTTCTAAAATAACCTTTGCTTGTAGGGCTAATTAGTCCAGAGTCCTGCTCATGCCTTTCTGTCCTTGTAGGGCATTTAAGGAAATGAGCCTTTCCTGGGTAAGATGCTTGGTATTCTTGCTTTGGGGTTTTTTTTGCTATAGGTTTATTTAATGTCAAGATGAATATGTGATCTCACTGTAAACACGCCATGCTTGTGAAAGCCAAGGTTATCTGGAGCTTTATAGCACAAACTTACTGTGTTTTGATGTTGACTGTTTTGCTGTGCTTCAACTTCCCTGCACCACTACACAACCTGCTAGTTTTCTGGAGGCGGGGATGAAAGAAAGGAAGATTCAGAGCTTGCATATTCTGAAATTCTTATTTGTTCATTGCTGGCAACCAGTTCAAGCACATCCAGCACAAGTCCTGTGTAACGGCTGGCACAAGTATAATTAACTGATTTGGGACAAGCTGTTTGCTCTGGCTCATGTATTTTAGCAGGCTGCCCAGGCTACAGGTAACTGGAATGACCTTTCCTATCTGTGCTTGATGTGTTCTTGAGTGTTGTGCAAATGTCACCTGTGTCCTCTAGCTGCACTTCACAACATTTGCTAGGCCCTTGATAATAATGTTGTCTTTTTTTTTCCCACCCCGCAGGTTCTACAGTCTTTGCAGAAATCCAAGGTGTTATTGATTCGTGTATTAAGCTCTCAGGAATGCCAGATCTTTCTCTCTCTTTCATGGTATATTTAGCATATCTTTGGGAATTTTAATTGCTCAGGATTTATTTTTCTTAATGATCAGAGTTAAACAATTTTAAGAGCACAATCACTACTTCATGTGGTACACATATGAAAAATAACAAGTTTTGCATTATATTGTAGAAGTTGCTGGACTGCTCGGTAGTTGGAATGGCTTTTGTCTGTACATAAAAATATACTCACAGGAACTACTGTACCAGGTCAGACCAGAAATCCATCTAGCTCAGTAACGTGTCTCAGATAATGGCTAGGAATGGTACCTCGAGTCTAAGAACTAGGAATTGTGTAGAGTTCAGTAGCTAGTTCGAACTGCTGATACTTGATGAGATTTCACTTACCACTTTGCCACTACTTACAGAACCCACGGCTGCTGGATGACGTCAGCTTCCATCCATGTATTCGGTTCAAACGCTGGGAGTCTGAGAGAGTCCTTTCATTTATTCCTCCTGATGGGAATTTTAGACTGATCTCCTACCGTGTCAGTTCACAGAAGTACGTTCCGTTGAGATACACTGGTTTTTCAGATATACCATCTACTGCTTTCCATCTGAGTAACTGCAGATTTCTCCATGTTATGGAGGGAATTTGCATTGTTGCTAAAATGCATGTTCTTGGGTTTTGTCTCATCTGTGGCTTTGTCCCCACTAAAACAAGAAAACAGTTTTTCAGTGAGCTGCTGATACTGAGCAATCATTTTTCAGTGGGAAAAACCACACATGACAGTAATAATAGGGCTATTTGTTCCTAGTAGTTATTGTTGCTGCTGGATGCTTTGTGGCTAAGTTTATGTACATAGAGGACTCTGATCTTCATAAAAAGAATAAAGCAAAAAAGTCTAAACTGCAGATACTTGCAAACTAAGTCTGATTTGACTGGTGGCAGTTCAGAGAATTGGCTCAGTGAGATTACTTTAAAAAAACATAAAT